GTGTCCAATTTATAGACACACTTAATTTCCAGGAAAGCAAAGTACAGAATGATTAAGGTGAAAGGGCCATGAACAAATAATCTCAATGGTGAAAACATGGATAAACACACAGGAAACAACCGAATAAATTACATTTAAAAAATTAAACTGGAGATCATGCATCACACCACCACCAGCAGCACCACTGAGCTCTTAGACCCCTTACTGGAGAAATCCTTTCTCAGTGTTGTATGTTTCTCTGGCTGCAGTGGCACTGTGAACCACGAGAAGCGAAAATTCAGTCGTCTGATACTGGACGTGGCCTCTGTCTTCTTCCTGCCACCCTTCAGCTTCCAGATCCGAGTAGGAGGACTTTACCTCCTGTACAGCTTGTATCAGTGCCAGAATGCGTCACCCTCTGAGCAGGTCAGGACCGACAGCACATGTACTTTCTCCTTAAAGTGATCAGCAAACTTGAAATAAAGCTCTTGCTGTGTCTCTGGCTGCAGATCCGTCTGGCACTGAAGGACTGGGCGGACGTGAAGACGTTTGAGAAAGACGCTACAGTTGCTCAGCACTTCGACGTGATCTACATCCTCCAGCAGCTCATGTTCTGTAAAGCGTTCCACTTCACCGCCACACCCTCTCTGGTTAGTTTCCTGTCTAAATATTTTAAATATATTTTAATGTGGATCTATTTTATTTTATTTTCAGCTTCCATGATATTGTGCCCACAGCAACCTCAGAATTCTGCTCTCAGCTGACAGGAATTGTGGTCCATCCAAGGCTAGAAACATTACATCACTAGTTAGAGTAGATATATCTTCTTTCCTTCCCCCAGCTCACCTACAATAAGAAGAGGAAGGTGGAAAGGTCGCCAATGCATGAGGAGTTCATGGAGCGAGTGTCCCGTCCACAGGAGCTGGTTAACATCGAGCTGCTGGAAGTAAGTCGACCCTTCCTTCCCCCTACTACCCAAACCCCACCAAATGTAGTTACATAGCAGTCAAGCTGCATCACATTTCAGGCTGCATTTCTCTGCAGAAGCATCCTATTCTCTCTGTGACGTTAAAAATACTCAACACAAAGTGATTTTAGCTGCATAGGAGGGCAGGAAAGTGAACACAGGAATGACACGGAGCATCCTTTCAGATTTCAAAATAAAAATACTGCGGTTTGTGAAAAGGGGGGTGGACATCAACAACACAACATCGCAAACAGGTATCTTTGTTGTCTTGCAGGAAATGGACAACATTCACCAGCACTATGAGAATCTGAAGGCATCCACCCTCTCGCTGACATCAGCGCAGCAAGATCCGTCCGTCAGCCTGATCCGTAAAAACCTCATCCCTCAGCTTCGCAGCGCTGTGGTCGACTTCTACAATTGGCAGAAAAGGAAGGTCTGAAAACAGAACATATCTCCTGTTGTTACAGTTTATTTTACCATGTTATAGCTTCACTTTTTGTGTGTTTTTTTTCCCACCTCTGATGTGACGCTGTGTCGTGTTTTGTCCTGACAGGACAGTGTGGACGAAGAAGAGGACAGCAGTGAGGGAACATCATCCCAGCAGGAGGTGAGATAGCCATTTCAGTGTCTTAC